CGATGACCTTCTCAAACCCATTTCATAAAATGAACCAAAGAGAAACCTTCCTCATAAATTAAATAAAATAAAGAGGAAAAATTACACAACAAAAAAAAAACCCAGCATTTGACCTCCATAACAAATCCAACCCTAACATTTTAATTATTTCAATTTAAGCCCTATAGTTTTAAAATTGTATCAATTTTGACCATTTATTTGCATCTACTAGATACAACTAACAAAAAAGGCTCAATTTAGGAAATTTAACCACTTTTCTTCCCTTTATTATTGTTGATAGTCACCTCTCTCTTTCTCTTTATCTCTATCTCTTACCATTATCCATCACCATCTCTTCTCTTCCTTAACCCACTAGGACTACTACATTCATTTTCCTAGCGCATTGCAATCCCTCTCATTGCTTCCTTAGTCCATAGTCGTTGTCGCTTCTATCATCCATCACCACAAACAAAAGTGGTTAAACTATTTAAATTGCTCTCATTCCATTAGTTATAACAAATAAATAGTTAGAATTGATACCATTTTAAAATTTAAGGATTCAAATTGAAGCAAGTAAAAAGTTGCGATTTGATTTTTTATAGGGATCAAACCGTAAGGGGGTTATTTTTATTTTTATTTTTTTAATATAACTTTCTTGAAAAAAAAAAATTATCCATAAAAATAATTCAAATTTAATATCTATACACCCTATAATTTTGGATCATGATAATTTGCAATCACGTTGATGTGTAATCCAATAGCTTACACTTAAAATTAACAACAATGATTCATCACCCCTTTTCCTCCCGAGCAAGGATCCTCTAGAGTGATTTTTCTCTAAAATTTTCTAAAGTACTACAGTGTATGGTTGAGATTTACTGGTAAGCCACATCAATTTTTTTGATGTGACTTGCCAGTAAATCTCAACCATACAATATAGCACTCTATGAAACTTTAAGAAAATTTCACTCTAGAGGATCCTTGGTGTTTCCTCCCACCCCCTTTGACCCTCTCTCTCTCTCATTGGTTACATTTTCTTTTTCTTTTTTTTCCTGCTCCTCCAATCACCCCCCGCCACGTGGCAAAGGGGGGTGAGGGGGTGACCCCCAAAAGGGGGTCCCAAGCATTATTCTAAAATTAAAGTAAAACTAAATCATTTAGAGTGCATAGTTTTAATAGTATTTTATTTAAATTAAATGGTTGATTTTCATTTGGCTTTTTAGGCCATACACACTTTCAAAAGGATCTACCATATGCAAGTTATAATATTTATGGTATTGATTACCACGAATATTATAACAAAAAAAATTTCAATCATAATTTAAAAAAAAATAGTGAGTCATAATTAAATACCACAAAAGTTATAATAAAAGATCTTTTAAATTAAAACTAAAATAATAGTTACAATAAGTTATAATCAACATTACAATGAGCCATAACTAACATGACAATGAATCATAACAAAGTTATAACTAATACCAAAAATAGGTCATAACTAAATATCACAAACATCATAAATGGCACATATGATAGACACCCCAATATGAGGTGTTATAGAATTTTTCTTTTCGTTTCAGGAAAACCATATTGCATAAACAGGCTCTAAGGCTGTGTTTGGAACGATTTCCAAACTATGATTCTACCCCTACATTCCAATATGATATTTGGATAGGTATTTGGAACTAATTTTCCAAACTCTGCAGAAAACTCTGCGTGAGGCGCAATTTTCAAAAAAAAAAAAAATTAATTTGGCCTTACCGGACGTCCCACAGGATGTCTCACTGGTTGACCGAGACAATGCAAATTTTTTTTTTGGGGGGGAGGGCAATTGACATATATTAATTTTTATATATTCGAAAAAAATATTTTTCGAATTTTTTAAAATTTTTTATAATAGAATTTTAAGTTGTATATTTGGTTATGAGTTGTAAATTTTTGTATCAAATATCATATGTCACATCAAAAATTTTCCACTCAATTCAAAACTCTTTTACTAAACAAATTTTTCACACTCAAATCATAATTTCAAAACTCACAAACTCAAAATATAACTCTTACTCTCAAATCTTATTTAAAAAACTCTACCGAACACAATCTAAATTTTCTTCCTCTTCGTAACCCACATCGGCTAGCCCTTCTTGAACCCACACCACAGTAGCCAACCTTTTTACTCCCTATTGCTGTGGTTTTTATGAAGATATGGAAAGAAACTAAGGGCAAATTATGGGCCATTGTCACTTTACCGTTTATAGGTGATCGTGTCCGATGTGGTCAGACAAGATGATCTGGGAAGATGGTAGGTACTTAGATGGCTTAGAATCATCAAAGGTAGAGGAAAAGAGAGTGAAGGCAATCTTAGAAGAAAGAGGGCGACAATGAAGGTCTTCTATGCCAGAGAGAGAGTTGTATGAAGTGTAGTGTTGACTTGACGACTGCTTAGGGGAGACTTCCTTAGGGCATTCACAATGGGACGGCTAAAAAAAAGTGTATTAAGGTGTGTTATATGACAAAAAGTAATAAAAGTGGGCCAAAAAATGTTTGTTAAGATAGTGTTAAGAGTTTGTTAATTTTAGAGAGTGAGTGGTGGTGCAACGAATGTGTTAAGGGGTGTGTTAAGATGTGTGTTAAATATATATATATATATATATATGTGTGTGTGTGTGTGTGTGTACATAATAAACAAAATAAACAAATAATTTAGTTTAATAAAAAATTTCAAGTCCAAAATTAAATTTCAAGTCCAAAAAAAATCCCAACAAGTAATAAAAAAAAAAAAAAAAAATTTGCCGTTGACCAGTCAACCAGCCGGACATCCGGCCGGTCAACCCGTAACAACACAAACACACCCCCCTTCGCTAGCTAAAACCATCACTGCAGATAACAAACAACTTAACACACATGACTAACACACACACTAACCGATCCACTGCAGCACCAAACAACAAACCTTGCTACCTAAAACTTACCATCTGACACTAACACTTGCTAGCTAAAACTTACCAACTGACACTAACACTCTCCTTAACAGTTCCACTGTGGATGCTCTTATATAGAAAGGGATCTCCTGACAATATCAAGAGAAATCAGCAGATCCTAATAGTATCAAGGGCCAAACAGATCTTTCGCATCCTTGTGATAGTCTCACACGTATGATAATATCATGTGCCCTAGTACAAATGTCGAGCATGTAGGATATACACGTCATAGTCACAGGATGTAGTGGAGAAACCTCTCTCATCTAAGACTAGTCATGTGTCCCAGATCGTGGGCACCTTGAAGATCGCTCAACTCTAGCCTCCACGCCATAAGTCCTTTAATGATCACAAATGGAGATCCTAGCTTATTCTGGAGCTAAGTATAATTTAGGAGACAGATCGCGTGTAACGAATCTTATGTAACTGATCTTGTTTGGTAGTGAAGTTAGATGTAGATCTAGATATGAGGTTAGATCCTACATCTAGATTGAGGAAGTTGGATCCTACATCAGGATTAGGGAAGTGGGATCCTATATGTGGATCGGGAAAGTGAAATCCTACATGTGGATTGGGTGGTGAGATCCTACATGCGGCTTAGGAGGTGGATTATGCATATGGATCTAGAGGTAGGATCCTTCATTTTTTTTTTTTTTTGATCAGCAAAAAAACCTTTATTGATGAACGATAAAACATTACATCAGAAAAGGAAACAAATGTGTGCAAAAGCATCATAACAAACATACCAATTCCAACTAGGTTGGCACCAATATGACCGCCCAATCCCTTGCAAGCACACCATCGCAGTTGGTGAGCAACCAACCAGAAGAAAAACAAAACAAAAAGCAACATACAACACAAAAAACCCAACACAGTAAAAGGTCACCAACAGCTAACATCTAGCAAAAGCCTCTGTTGTAAAGCCTCCACTGCTTGAGCATCACCTGATGGAGAACTTTGTAGCGCAAAACTAGTTTAGTATCAGCACAGAATTGTGCAGCCAAGAACAACCAATATACCGGCCAATATACCAAGAACACCCAGACTTAGCCAATAAACCAGCACTCCATTCACCAACTCAATCAACTCCCCGGCATTAGACCAGCTAATAAAGCAAAACCAAAATTGCAACTACTGCAGAGGGCAACCATTAGCAACCAGCTTCCACCATAATCATCAAGAGTCATCTTCACTTTCATAAACTCCACTCCTTGAGCCCAAGCTTCCCACAAAGACTATAGCAGCCAGAAGCAAACCACTGCAGCAACTCAGACAATGAAGCAAACATTTTGTTTTGCATTTGTGTGTTGACACAGTACTAATAAAGCATTTAGACCATAATTCTACAACTTGAAAACTTCTACCACCTTCAGCCAGCCAGCATCAGTGAAGCAGATGACAGAATCAGCAGAGCAAAACCAGAACAGATCAACAAAACCAGAGCAGAGCAGATCAGCATTCAGCATTCAGCATTCAGCTCCAATGAAAACCAGAAGCAGATAACACATCGGATCAGAGCAGATCAGCATTCAGAGCAACATAACAGAGCCACCATGTCATATCATAGCAGATCAGCCAAGAAGCAAAAGTAAACTCACCGAAACAACAGAGCCACCATCTCAAACACCCAGACTCAGCCCTCATATCAAACCGAACAAAATGGACCAACATAACAGACCATTACCTAATCAGACCAAAAAGAACAAAACATACCAACATGGACAGTCACAGAACAAAATAGACAAAAAATAGACAAAACATCTACCCAGCGTCCAGTGAACACTGCTTCCATATGAAGAATTCAACTAATTAAACAAACTGACATATGCATAGCTCAGCTCCCATTCCTAATGCAATATATGGATGAGTGGAGATCCTACAAGTGGGTGCCCCAAAGATTTGAAAGGAATATTGTATGCGTACACAATGAAATGAAAAACTTTTGTTTTGATTTTCAATTCTCATGATTATGTTGTGATGTAATGGAAATATAATACAACCATCCATAGAATAGTTAGGATAAAATAACTATGCTAAATAGTTAGAAAATGGCAAGTGAAAGATCAAGTTGTGATGTATACAAAATATAATTCAACCGTCCATAGAATAGTGTCAGGATAAAATAACTACATTGTACTCTTGAATTTTTAGAAAACATATCATGCCATGACAGGTCATGCCAATACAGTTTTCCTCCTTTGTTAGTGAATTGTAAGGTCAACTAATCCTAATTAAAGAACATTTATTAGCTTTATAACATTAATAACATTCACAACATATACAAAGTAGAAACTAGCAGATGGATCAGATTCAGAACTCAAACTGCATTTCTGAAGTATAACCAATTGCATTAAGGTGAACAGCCATGGCTTTGTTCATGCCTGCTGGCCCACACCTCAATATCTGCAAAAGAAAAAACATTGTAATTAGTAACATAAACAGTAGGCTTTATAAAATACATATATATATATATATAAATCTTTATCAGAGATGAACCTGAATATTCGGTCCGGGTGAAGGGCAATGGCTTTGAATCATTTCCTTTGATACATGCCCAACACCACCATTCCATGCATCAGTAGGAGCCTGACCAACAACAACATAATTAACCATTATTCCAATTTTAATAACTTGCGATGTTTCATTTCGCTCTCGGAAAGAATATCTATAAAGAAGCTCCAATCATTGATAGTTCAAAGCCAGTTACCAAAATGCCTCGACACGGGAGCAAAATTATATAGGAGGAGGAATGACTTCTAAAATATAGCCTTGACAAATTGGGATGTAGAGAAAGATAAATTGAAGAAAAAATAAGGTAACTAATTAACCTAACCTGGGTTACAACATAATAAACTTTGAAGCGATTGGGGAACTTGCTAGCGAACACATCTAGTTCTTCCTGTAAAAATATCCAAAAATAAAAGAGTAAAATAATTTAATCCATCATATTCATTCCATAACCCATCATATTTGAATGCATGTACAAATCATCACATTCTAAAATGATATCTCCCATGTACATACTAAAGTCAAGTAGATTGAATGACTTTCAGGTTTTAGCAGAATCAGATATAGTCTAATAACACTCTTAAATTTGCTCATTCATAGTTTCCATACCACACACGCCGTCCAAAATTAAGTATCCAATCAAAATTTCTAGTTGGTCCCAAGAATTCTTGATAGAAAATGATCAGATTAGCCCCTACACATTTTCATGCTAATTAATAACAGAGTGAAGGATGAATAGTGCAATTTACCTTCAAAATAATGTCCTCCAAAGTATGATTTGCATAGATAAGATGCAAATTTGTTTTATCTTTTGGGTTCTCTAATATGGCTCTGGCAAGCTGATGTGGATGATGGATCCAGAAACAGAAACATAAACAGTACATATATGAACTTCTAATCAAAGCTATAGAGAGAGGAAGTTTCCAACAAAAAGCCAAAAGAAAAAATTTCAAAAAAAAAAGGTATTTCTGCCATTTCGAATGCTAATATACATACATACATACCTGAAACATTGGGGTAATGCCGGTCCCACCAGCAAGCATCCCAAATGCTCTAACTTGGCCTGGTTTATATTTGAACCGCCCCTTGAAACACAAAAACATAAATTTAAGAAATGAAAATAAAAATTACCTGAGGGAAATTAGTAATTTACAGCATGATAGTTTCTTTATCACAGTCTAACATTGGAAAAGTTTCTTTACTTTTTTCATTTTTATGAATGTTTTTGGTGGGTAACAGTGTAAAACTTTCACAACTCAATTCCACCAATGGTTAGGTAAACTAGGAAGTCCACTGGAGCATGACATGATGACATACAAATCTATGGCTAAAATTTTCCAACAAACATTCTCATGTTTTGACATATCATGTTTCATTGTGGCAATACTTACTCATTATCTTTGAGAATTTGACAGACTATTCACTAAAATTAATTATAAATATATCAAAGTCAAAGCTAAGAGTCTTTGCTGCATAATTCTATGGTTGGGGAAGCATTATTTAAATTAAAATAACCCATTGTAGTTTATAGACTACAGAAACACTGAATTTCAAGACCAGTACATAAAAGACCAGAGGCAAACTTTTGGACTGTTAACTCGGTTTTGGGTAGTAGAACTCAACCTAAAAAGTTAGCTTTTTGCGGTGAGGGTGCCCTCACAATTTTATACTATACATTACTTTATATTTGTACACAAGCAATTCACACCCTTCCTCATGAGTGTGCTCACTCTGTAGAACCTGCCCCATACAAGCTAGGGGGACACAAGCTCTAATACCATTTTACACGGTCTTAAGTAAACCTTGACCAAAAAAACTAGTTGTTGATGTGAGGGTGGTGCCTTCACACTTGCATGCTGTACATTATTTTACTTTTGTGCATAGTCTATGTGGGACTCCACTTGACACGGACTTCAAAAAAAAATAGTGCCAAGTTCAACTGATAAATATGCTTGCTAGACACCGGTCTGGGCATGGAAAGTTCGGAATCAATATAGAAATTCACTTTTAACTTCTTTTTTTCAAAATTTATTTTTGGAGTTCACTATGCTGAGGACATACTATTATCAAATTAACAATTTAATCAAGCATTAAAAGAATGAGTAAGAACCGTTGGTCCCTTCACAGCCAGGAAATCGCCTTCATGCATCTCTCTGAAATGGTGTGACATCCTTCCCTTTGGATACATCTATTGAAACCAAAACCAAAATCAAAACCAACATCATAAAGCCCAACCTCTGCGAGAACAAATTAAAATGTCTCAAAAACCATGGGAGAGACTTTTCAAATACAAATTAATGTGTACCTTTACCACAAGTTCAAAGTAACCGAGATCTGAATCTAAAGTAATTGGGGTATATGGTCTGATAACTGCTTCACCTTCGCTGTCATTTCCTCTGCCCAACATAAAAATAGACATATCAGTAAAAATAGTGCTATAAATATGAGCAGTTCCAAAGAAAAACTAGTTGCCAAATAAGCATAGTGGTCTTTGGCTTCATGAAGCAATTTGTATTAGGAATAATAACTCACCAACTGCATCATGAATGATTTGAACCTAAAAAATATATATATATCGAATAGAATTACTGAACATTAAAATATAGAAAAGGCAGTTAAAAAATGAACCTGCATCTTATATGGTGCCCAACAGGAAGACCCAAGACTGAAGTAGGCGTTGGAAGGGAAAATCTGAACCTTGCAACATTATGGGTAACTTTTGTCCTTTTAACAAGTTTGAACTCTACGAATTTCTCAGGATCTAAGCACCCTATTAACACATTATTACAATAATCAGTTTGCAAACAAACAAGACTTAATCACCACTAGCCACATGATGACTAAAATATGAATTGAATCAAATTATTCAGCTATTAGATATATATACCCAAAATAATTATAATGATCATTAGGATATAGCATCGTCGGCTATTAATTAAATTATAATGATCATAATGGCCATCTACTATTTGCAGTCCTCCTCCTCAAAATGATTGGAACCAGTTGCATAGAAGGTAAGACACCAATGACAAAATTCAATGTTCAATGTTCAATTTCATTTTACACAAGTTATGAACCCATAAAATAAAATAAAAATGAGTTTGGTATTGACAAGTGTGAGGGGATAAAGGCATTGACCCCAAATAATTCAGAAGAGGATACAAGAGTACAAAATGCTATCGGAAGGAACACAAACACAAAGGCACATTAAGCCCTTTGAATATAATTTCTAGGTGCCATATTTCCTATACCAAAAGATTAAATTAAGATCCTTAGAAAAAGAAAATATATGTCATCCCGAATTTCAGAAATTTATAACAAGCAATTCTAAAATAGGCAAGTTTGCTATGAGTTTGGTGGTCCAAGCAACATGCAAATTGCTTCAAATTACAACTAAATATTCCAAAACTCTTACAACTAGAACTGAAAAGATAATAATGAAGATTAAAAATTAGTAAATTACTTTGGACACCAAAACAGGTTCAGGTGATTAAATATAGGGACTTCTAAAGTAATTTGAATCAGATTCAGGTTGAGCAGCTAAGATTACTCTATATTTGGATTTTTTACTCATTTACTGTAAAGAGTTGCTGATCTGACTTTGTTGAGACACAAGACTTAGGTTGTGGTTGGATCATAGATTTGTGTAGAAATTTAAAAAGAAGAGAGGAAAATGTGAGTGAAATGTGAAATAAAAGCCAATCAATAGCTAACGCATATAATAATCCATTACAGAAACCTGATAGCAAACTACAAAAATATGGGTGTCTCATGTTAATAATAAGAATGTTACACAAAGAAATAAACCATTCACTAATATTCTGTTTGTAGTTTTCTATTTATATTTTAAAAAATTTATAAATTATAAATAAAACTCATTTGGTGTTTATTTTTGTTTTGTAAAAAGCAAAAAAAAAAAAATTATATTCACCCCTAGTTCTTGTAACAAAAAATAGAAATATATTATATATATATATATATATGATTTGTGCACCCAAAAAAAGGGCACAACATAAAAAAGTTGTGCTTTTTGTGGTGAATGCCTGTGGTGCTTGTTATGCTAGTTTATGGTAAAAGTTACAAATGACGAAATGGTATGAACAAAGTACAATTTTTTTTTTTTTTTTTTTTTAAGTCATTTTATGGTTCATGTTACAAAATTTTGTGGTGTTATTACGAAGAACTTATCATATCCACCCTTTTAAGGGTGCACATATATAGTAGCATCTTCCCCCTAAAAATTAAAAATAAAAAATAAATAGGTTCACTTGTTTAGAAAATAAATTCTCATTCCTTCCTCTCTTTTTGACCCTCTCAAGCCACCATTCACTGCTCATCACCACCACTGGCCACCGTCACTGACTACCTCCTCTAGTAACCATCTCCTATTGGTGGCAATTAACTCCAAGTATTGGAAATCACCGATCACTTGAAACCACCTTTGGCTCACTTCTCTAATAGCTGACAACCACTTTTAGTCACCATCTTCAACAGTCAACAACCACCTCTGACCACCCCGCTCACTTATTTTCTATACTAATTTTTAAAACACATTGCACTAAATGCATTTTTTGTTTTTGTTTTTAACAAAAGTTAATATAAACATGTTTAATGTTTTCAATAAACAAAATTTAATAAACCACATAAATGTTATCAAAAGAAACCTAAATATCTTTTGGATTGTTTGAGTTTTCTAAAAGATAGACATAAAAGATCATTGAAAACACTACTAACATATAAGAGTTTTAGGACCAAATTTTTTCGTTCCTAAAACTTTAATTCCTCGTAAAGATGCCAAAAAAGATTGTCTTGGACAGACTTGCCTAAAGATCACTGGAGCCCTATGATCATCTCTGCCTTTTTAAGCAATCAGAAGGAGAATTAAAGGTATGATGATACTATCGAAAAAGTAATTAAAATGAATGAAAATAATAATAAATAAATAAATAACACAGCAAACTAATGATAATGATGCAAATATATATTGAGCATATTGAAGTAATCACCACAACTATACAATTCAGTAATAAATAAATAAATAAGTGACATGAAATTTGTTGAACACAGACCTTTAGGCTTCTTTTTGAAATAAAGACGGGCCGCAACGACAGCAGCAGCAGCAACGGTAGTGATGAAAATAGTGAGAAGAGCAACTGTAACATCATTCAACATGTCATCAGGAAGGGGGAACAATGTTCCTGGGAATTCCATATTTGAAAACCAGTTTACCATTCTCCACTCCATACAAAACCAGACCAACCTCAAATTTTAAACAGTTACTATAAGTTAAAGTAGTTACACTTACACATCTTTTTTATACGTACCATACTATACCATACCTGGCCCTTATACTTTGCTTGTTTTCCTCATCTTTCTTTCTTCTTCTTCTTCTTCTTTTTGTAATTTACTTTTGTGGGTCTAGATCAGATTAGCAAGGAACCAAGGAAAGGATCTACCAAAATTTATTAACTCCTACTTTTGGCAATTTAAAATAAAATGGAGAATTACATAAAGTGAAAATATATATATATATATATATTTTTTAATGTCTTTGACTTGCAACATGTACAAGTCTACTTGCATTTTCATAAAGGGTTTATAGGTGGCAAATCCATTTTTATGGGAAGATATGGCATTAGGTTCAAAAATTGATCTTTTATGGAAATAAAGACATGATTAATGACAACGTTTGGTAAGAACAATATATTGTTTTAAATAATTTTTTTTTTATTTTTTATTTTTTTTCATTTTTAACCCACTACCACTAGGCCACTATTGGACCACTGTTGGAGCCCGAAAAATCGTTAGTAATGGCAAATGACGGTGACTGGTAATAGTGTTGATATGGACATATAGACAAACTAGCTAGACAAATAAGTGACACATGGATAAATAAATAAATAATACGTAAACAAATAGGAGAATGATGTATGGATAAATAGGTGGACAAAGTTGTCATATAAGTGATGTGGACAGATAGATAAATAGATAGGAGTAATGTAATCTTTCAAATTGTTTTGTCTTTTTTACTCTAAAAGAATAGAGCTTGTGGCTATTGCCCGAAACTTATGGCTTGAATGCCCCTTTATAAAAGTTATAATTAATTTAAGTTAATTTCACTAATATGTAATTTCCTTAAATTTTATTATCACAATTTGTAAGTCCATACATTAAGTATTGAGGGGGGGGGAAAAAAAGCCTAAGGGGTTGGAAGGGTTTGAACATTGTAGCAAAATAAATTTTGATTTTTGAATTTTATCAGTTTAAACCTTAACTTTTAAATTATTTTCAATCTAAATCATTTATCCATTTAATTAAGTAAAATGGAAGGGAAAATGAATATTTGAGTTACCACTACAACATCTAAGAGTTTTAGAGACCAAATATTTTGGTCTTTAAAAATAAAAATTTTGTTGCAAAAGACATTTAGAGATCAATTTCTATCGTCATGAGGATACTCGCTAAAAGGTCGTATCGAAAAATAAAAAATAAGGCTTTTAGCGACAAAATTTTGAAAATGTCACTAATAAATAGACTTTTATGGGCAAAATAATTTGGTCTCAAAATAGTTTATCTTTTGAAACAAAAAATTTGGTCCCAAAAATATAATAATTTATCACTGATGTCTAATTTTCGTTGCTAAAAATATCATAATGACACTTTTCGCAACAAAATTATTTGGTCCCTTAAAAATAATTTTATCCCTAAATTTTAGTCTCTAAACCCTTAAATTTTTTTTTTGTAGTTTATTAAACTCAATACAAAGAGTATTTTAGATATTTTATGTATACCTACGTTGAGTTTAATGACAAATATTTTTTTGTCAGAAATTTTACTTAGCAAAAACCAGCGAATCATTTATATTAAAAATAAATCAAAATATTAAAATTGAAATTGATAAAATTAAAAAATTATAATATATTTTATTTCAAAGCTAAAGTTTAGGGCTTTTTTTTTTTTTTTTTTTTGGGGGGGGGGGGGTAATTGTCCCTGTATTTTTCACAATATTTTAGCACAGGCTTTTTTCACTTGTGTTGGGCCCGGAACTGAAGCATGTAACGCCCAGGTCCCTTAATTTGGGCTTTTTCAATTTTTTTGTTTTCTTTCCTCTCTTGCTATTTTTTAATGTATGCAAAGTTTACTATTATATAAAAAAATAACTTTATAAATTGGCACATAACAAGAAGAAAGCTACTTTATTATAGTTTAATTTAACAAATTTTTAAATAGTTGCAAGTTAAGTACACATCTTTTCTTATTTAAAAATTTGCAAGTTACGTACACATCTTATATTAATTTATACATGCATACATCACATACCTGCCCCTTATGCTTTGCTTGCTTTGGTCATCTTTTTGTGTGTGTGTTTGTGTGTGTGTGTCTCGTGGAATGGATGATATTAATTTATACATGCATACATCACATACCTGCCCCTTATGCTTTGCTTGCTTTGGTCATCTGTGTGTGTGTGTGTGTGTGTGTGTGTCGTGGAGTGGATTAGCAATGAGCATAGGAATTGAATTTTTTTCTTTTCTTTTTTTTTTTTTTTTCCCATACCTTGACATTTTAACAAAAATGTATCAGCTTAAATTTTGTTACCAAATGTAAATTCATAATATTTGATATTTTCACAAATTTTAGTGACTTAAATTTTGGGGTAATTAATTGGGATAGGCTAAATTAGCTTAAGGGATTATTTGGCATGACCTAAAAAAATCATACTTTTTATCTTTTAATCTTTTTTTTTATCATATTATCTCTTTACTTTTTTTGTACATCTTTTCGTAAAAAATCAAAAAATACACTTATTTAAATCATCTCGAACACCCTTTAATTAACTAATAAAGACAACACAAGCTAATTTACCTAATAAGATAAAACCTCACATCTAAACCATAATCATTTTACTCTTTCTCTTACAATCATCAAATCAATTACAAAAAAAGCCAAAATTTATTTCAAACACAATTTTTTTAACTAAGCTAAAATAACCAAAAAATTATGCTGAATTAGGTCATCCCAAACGAGGGTTAGTGAAATTCCCACCACATATACCTGATTTTTATTAAATTCCATAACTTTTTTTGTTAGGGTTGGGTTTCTCTCTAGTCCGTCATCTAGATTGGAGGGTGTTGTTCGGGCTCGTGGGGTCCACTACAGGTTCCGTTTTGATAATCTGAATAGTTCATTTTGTCAAGTTTTGATCGATCTGATATTTGTAACCAATTTCATTTTATCATATTCGTACCCGAAAAAATAAATGGCCTACTTTTAAAAACACATTGATCACTAAATTTTTTTAGAAACAAACTCGATAAAAATGAAGAGGCTACGAATATCATATGGACCCAATTTTTTTAAAGATTATATACAGGCAAGGCTCAATAAAATGAATAATTCAGATCATCGAAATCGGACCCGTGGTAGGCCCTATGGGCTCAGACACACCCTCTAGTCTAAATTTGGACTAGAAGGAAGCCCAACCCTTTTTGTTAACCTCTAAGGTCTTAGGAGGTGTTTGATAAAACTTAAAACTAAAAACTGAATATTCAATTTTCTAAGCTGAAAAGTTGTTTCATAAAATTTTAGTGTTGAATTAAAACAAGTTGTTTAACATATACAATTAATTAAATTTCAAATTTATTATTTTTAGATTGTATCTTTCAATTTTTGTGTTGTGATGATGAGTTAGTGGCGGTGAAAGAGACGAAGGCATTAGCTATGGCACCAATAGCAATGACGGCGAATATAGAGGGACAGTGGTTGTAGTAATAGTGGAAGGGTAATGTCATGGAAATAAAAAAGGGTGGTGATTATGGTGTAATGATGGTGTTATTGTGGTGGTGATTATGACAATAGTTGCAATAGTTGTGGAGGTGAAGAGTTGTAATAGTTGTTATAGTCATTACAACAAAAAAAAGAGTTTTTACGACACCAAATACACATTGTAAATACAATTCTATGATGCGCGAGGTAAAGCCATGTTATGACCAGTCATGGAAAGTCATTCACTTCAACGACATGTCGTAGTACACCTTTAAAAATCCTTTAACTACGGATTTTGTGCATCGTAATTGATTTTTGTACAACTACTTTTGCATGCCATTAAAAACCCACTAATGGGGGTTATAATGGCAATGGTGACTGTGGTGGTGGTAGTGATGATGTGGTGACAGGAATGAAATGATGGTAATACTTATAGTAACAGTAATAATGGTAATGGAAATGGTAGTAGTAGTTGTGGTAGTGGTGGTGGTAGTGGTAGCAATGGTGGCGGTGTTGATAGCGGTAGCGGTGTTGATAGCGGTGGCGATGGCAGTGGCGGTGGTAGTAGTAGTTTATAATAATGAATGTCAACGTTTATATTTAGTATTTATAAATTCAATCAGAATTAAGGCCTCATTTGGCATTCGCTTGTTTTAGCTTAAAAGCCAAAAAATTACTAAAAAATCTAAAAAGTCTAGAACTTATAACAAAAAGTCAAAGATTCTATTTTATCTCTATTTTTTGCACATCTTTCTGTAAAAAACTAAAATGTCATTCCAAACATACTAATTTTTTTACCTCATATTTTAGCCAAAAAATTAAGAAGTTACTAAAAAAGTATGTTCCCGAACGAGACCTAAGTAAGTTTCATATCACTTAAACTTTTTTTAACTTTTAACATACATTTTAAGAGTCACTTAATTTTTTAAATGATATCAATTGCGATTATCAAACGAATTTAATTGATTTTCACTTAATATATTTAGTTTTAAGTGTTGAATTATGTTATTAAACACTGTCTGTTGTATAACGTATGGGAAATTTTATTTACACACCACCAATCCTCTAAATCTACATCATTTCTATTAATTTTTTTTGTTACATTCATATCCTTTTAGTCAATTACATTTTTAATTTTTATATTAATTTTTCAATCCACACCACACCACCCCTACCAACCCTAACCACCGCTAGTAGCCTGTCATTGTTGCCTCATCCTCTTTCTTCTCTGGCAAATCTCCTTGTCACTCCTCTATCCCTCACTCCTCCTATTGCCAACCTCTGCCTCCATCACCACCAACAGCCACCATTGCAACCACCTCACCCCCCCTTCTATTCTTCACTTCTCCCTTACCACTGCTCCCCCACGTCATTGTGATCCATCAACAACAACCACTAACGCAGTCACCCTGTCACATCCCGGATTTACATGGTCCGGTTCATATGAATAAACCACCTAATGATGAATAGTATATAAAAACTCTCATGCAAATGAATATAATATAGTCACACAATACATGTGTTTTATCCAA